CCAGAGTCCTGGCAAACACATAGTGCAAAGTGCATCACCTTAGGGTCTGTTCAGAAATAAAGCAAAACCCATTTCCCCTGATCCAACAACATTGCACAAACAGCTCAGGTGACAACTGTAAAGATGATAGGCCCTATTTTAATCACAGCTGTATGTCTCCACCTGCTGCTTGCTTCATGTATATGTAATACACCCCTGAATAGGGGAAGATATAACTTGTGTTAAAAACAACAGCGACTGTTCTGGTCTCAAGTCAGTAAATTTAGTGACTGACACACAGACGAAGGGCTCCCCCTACAGGCTGTGTAATGGAAGGGACATCACCAACTAATTCCCTCAAAATAAAACAATAAAACAGTAAACAACATGAACATACATTATATTGCACATAACATTAGATTCAAGAGTACATTTGATACTTTATATTGTACCCACTACATGTGCAGCAGCACAAAGTGCAGAAGGACTGTTAAAGAGGAATATAGATCAGTTGATCAATTGATTAAAGTGATGATGGTCTCATCACTCTGAAACATTAGCTGACAACCTTGAGCAGTGGAAAGAAGCAGACTTGATGGTCATCAGTGCTGCAACTTCCACCTCGACAAAACCTGATACATCCTTGTTGTGTACAGTTTTCTGCTAACAATCCCTGCACAGATGGTGTCTGCTACATCACCAGGAGATGAGGCCACCACTTTCCCATGGCCTTCAGACAACAACACAAACTCAGTATTAAAATGTTAAACTCATATTTGTTATAATATATTCAACAATTTACTCCAGGGAAACCTTTCTCTGGCAAAGTCGGTTTAAAGTAAAATGCATTTTGTGTGGGACATAAGTTCTGAACACATTTACACACAAGGTTCATTTAAAATAAAAAAATAAAGTACATAATTTCCATATGAACATAACACAGCACATACATATGCACACAATAAAAATAAGACAAAGGTGGTGTTGTCTGTGATTTACATATAAACCAGTGAAATTAAGTTTTAACAGTGTTGCTGTTAAAAAACATAATGAATAAGAGACCTGGTCAGAGGCCTCTACACTCCACCTCTGCAGGTGCATCCAGCAATGATCCCTTCTCCAGCCAATGCCATGCTGATTTGTTGATGCATTGTTGTACTAGAGGCGACTGTGAGACTGGAAAAATTGCAATGTGGTATAAAGCCATAGTCTTTGGTGAGGTCCTGCCACAGAGCAGGATAAGTCTAATCTGAATTTACTGTAGCTTCATTCATTCTTTATTTATTCCTTATTCTTATGTGAACTGCCTCATGCAGTTAAATGTTTTACTTTTTGCCTTCACTGTCTTCTATACACTTTAGTGTTTGAGCAGAGAACATTGTCATTCCGCTCAGTTGAATTTGATTTGTACAGCATCACATGATAACAGACATTGCTCAGTGCATCATGGGAGTCCCCCCCAGAGCTGGTTGCACAGGAGAAGAGCCTGATAGCTGAGGGCTCTGCCTCCTCCCATTCTGCACTTAGAAACTCCAGGAACCACAGTAGACCTGCATTTAGAGAGCGAGTATTCTGTTGTGATAATAGGGAACTATGAGCTCTTTGAGATAGGTGGTGTCTGACCATCAATGTCTTTGTAGGTGAGGAGGAGGATTTTATAGGGAGCCAATGAAGCTGACACAGGAGAGATGTGATCTCTTCTCCTAGTTCCTGTCAGTATTCAGCAGCATTTTGAATCAGCTGGAGGTTTTTCACTGAGTTATTGGGACATCCTGATAATAAAGAATTACAGAAGTCCAGTCTAGAGGAAACAAATGCATGGACTAGTTTTTCTGCATCTTTCAGAGACAGGATGTGCATGATTTTCCAGTGTTGCATAAGTTAGAAAAGGCAGTCCAGTCTGTTCAAGAATATAACTTAGAGATTCATTACCATGGTGCTGGAGGCCAAGGCAGGGTAGTCCCATAATTTTCTGTCATATTTTACTATAAAAATATTAACAAGTATTTTTATCAATCCTAATTTGTCACCTGTATTTATTTTCTTTTTCCTGGTGGAGGTGATCAGAGTGTGATCACATATACATGTAGCCTACATTCAATCCACCCACAAGCCATTAAACATGCAGCCACTACACCAGAGACAGCCACATTAAGGAAGAAGTGTAGACCTCTATAATCCACATACAGGATTAGAAACAAACTCTCTACAGATGAGCTGGAGGGGAACTGCCGCCCATAGACTCATGTAAAAGGTCGCTTATTATCAGCTGAAAATCTCATATCTGCTCACCTGCAGTGGTTGAAGAGAAGAGGACATACCTCTGAGCCTGAGGCTTTCAGCTGCAGGAGGTCAGTGAAACGGAGCTTCTCAGCCTGACATTATTTACTCTTATCTTTAATTAGTATTCCAAAAATGTTTATAATAAAGATTCATCCACACTGTGTCTGTAGTTTGTGTCTGTCCAAGCCTCTCCTTCTCCTGTTGATGAACCTGATGAGCAACAAACTGTCAGACTGCTTCTTGAAAATGGCGTAGCCAATGAGGATTTCATATCTTGTCTCCCAATGATAATAACATGTTGGATAACGGAATGTTCTGAGAGGCCTGGTTGTAATGTTTTGCCCACACATTGAAGGCAGGAGAACTGTTGTACACTGTGAGGTATCAGTCACAGAATGAGGTTTATTCTTAGAGCAGCAAAGGGTTAGTCTGAAGAAACATCAGTCACCATCCATCCATGTGCGACTGGACCATGTTCCTAACCCTGGAATTTTTAAATACTGGGGGAACAATGTCGCTGATTCCTGCTCTTTATCAGGTCATTGGCTGCTTAATAAAAAAAAACAATATATGGGTTAGGTCCATGACACCAATAAAGAACTGTATGAAACACTGACCGTTATAATCTCTCCTTTCTCTATCCTGTAGATGCTGACCAGGCACTTCACTATCCTCTGCTGCACGTCACAGCTCACAATCCCTATTATTAATGCTATTAATAGCCAATAAGCTATCAATGGTTCATTTTACTCACACAGTGATCCACAGGATTGGCAACTAATACAATGTCAGTGCTCAGATCTTTAAATGCTTATTCTTATCATTATGTATATATACTGCTGTAGTTACAATTTAAAACTCAGTAAAATATGTTCTTGTTACTCAAGTAAACGTAGCCTATATAGGCCTCAGAAGGGCAGACCGACGATGGTTGTAACGCTTTTGACATTTCTGTCTGTTTCTTTTAAGCCAGTGTGTTCACACTGTGATACTAACTAGATCCATGTGTCTGCTGTTAAATGGTGTGGGTGTTATCTCTGCAACACAAACAGTAAATGTCTGGTTTTGTCTCAAACACAAGGAATGAAGTGTTGCATTTCACTACATAGTCCGGCTTAGTTGTAACATACATACATCGTAACATAATAGTACTGCATTCAAGACACAAGTATTGTGTATTCAGTGTGTGTTCTATTATATTATTGAATTGTTATTGTACCAAGGTACAATGTACAGTATAAGAAAAGCAGTTAAACAAGGGTCAGACTCAGCAGCAGGACAGACTGTGCAAAACTGAAAAAAATTATGAAAAATATCACACATGGTGGGAAGTATAGTGATATTTGATATTATCAAATATCGGCCCAAGCCTAAGGTTGTGTGTGGTTAATAACATATAATAACAAATAATCCATCCATCTATCTATTATCTATGCCACTTGTCCTTATAGGGTCGTGGGGTGGGTGGGTGGAAAGGACCCAGGCCCAGGGTTAAACCTAGTTCCTCCTTGCTGTGAGGTGACAGTGCCACTCAATGCTCCACCATGCTGCCCTAATAATAAATAAATAAGTGAATAAATAAAAATTAGAGATGAATCATGCAGGAGTTTACTTATAAAATACTTACAAAGGTAAACAACCGACATATTCACAAAAAGCAATTAAAATGATGGTTTAGCATTTGAAAATATAACAAAATTAACAAAGTATTCCAACTCCAATTTTGATTAATCTTTGTGACTCATTAATCTTGGTTATATTAAACTACTTATTAGACTAGGTTAGTAGACTCTCCTGAACTTAGCAGTATTTGAGCTGGATCAATAATGTTTTCAGTTATTCAATGTTCGTCTGTCCGTCCATCCCATTCTTATGGATATCTCTGTAACGCCTTGAAGGAACTTCTTCAAATTTGGCACCTGGACTCAAGGACAAACTGATTACATTTTGGTAGTTAAAGGTCAAAGGGGAAGGTTAAGGAGTGACCTCACAAAATGTGGCTTTGGCCTTGTGAATGCAATATCTCCATTATGCCTTGAGAGAATTTCTTCAAATTTAGTAAAAACATTAATTTGGACTCAAGGAATAACTGATTAGATTTTGGTGGCAAAGGCTAAAGGTCAAGGTCAGTGTGACCTCACAAAACACTTTTGAGCCAGCAAGAAATCTCACACAAATGGTTCATATTTTATATGACTGGATAAACAGGGATGTAACCTGAAACTAGTCTGAGTATAGGAATACAAGGAGGAGGAGATTCTGGCTACATTTCGGATCTAAATAAATAAATACGCCACATTCCGTTCACGTAGTTGCAGTAAACGGTTTGAACTCAGTACCCTCTCTCTCTATATTCGATTCTGTCTCTCTCTCTCTCTCTCTCTCTCTCTCTCTCTCTCTCTCTCTCTCTCTCTCTCTCTTCCTGTGCTGGATGGTGTACTGCCGTGAGCGCGCGCGCCGAAGATGCCGTGCGTCTCGTGTGATGCTGCAAAGCCGCGCGTCATCACTGAGAGCAGTTGCTTCCCTCGGACGCTGGTTTGGTTTTTTGACATTTACCGACTTTAAAATACAGATACCGGGTATCGCGTGACTGTACTAGTGTAGACAGTGTGAGCGCGCGCACAGATGTGCTTTGAGAGACTGCGGTAAAAACCGCTTGCTCATCCTCCGCGCGCTCCTCCTGTGACGGAGACATCTAAGTGAGTTGAAGGAGTGCGTGTTACCGACACGAGGATTTATCTCACGCTAGCTCGTCTAAAGCCGTATCTATCCATCCTCCCGGGAGGCACGTTCCCCGGTAGAGAACGCGGCGGGAATAGCGCGGCGCTCCGGTCTCTCCTGGAACAAGGAGAAACCTCGTCCCGGTTGTGACAGTGTTATGTGACATCGACAGTCGACCAGTAACGAGCACCGGCTTTCCCTCTTTCACATGGGCGAAGACGAGGAGCGGTTCAGCGTCCGGACCCACCGCGGAGGAAACGAAGAGAACGGAGACAGCAGCGGAGCGTCTCTGGACCCGGAGAGAGAGAGGAGATATGCGGAGCTGTTCGAGCAGCTGGACCTGAATAAAGATGGCAGGGTAGACATCAGCGAGCTGAGGACAGGACTTGCGGCTCTTGGTTTGCACCGGGGAGAGGCGGAGGAGGTGAGGAGACGGGACACAGGCTGATGCTAGGACAGGTGCACACACACTTAAGCGGCTTTATTGTCCTGAAGGAAAATGAGTGGTGCCCTGTATTAAGATTTAGATAGAATATAGTAAGAAATGTACACAATTTTTGTTATATAGGCTAAATGAGAGGTAACAATATCTTACACCAACTAATTTCTAATTTCTGTTCATTCATACTTTCATTACTCACATCATTTTGTATCTCCCCAGTGACATAAGTAATATTTGTGTCAATGCAGTAAAAGTGGTTATATCTACCTGTTTGTGCACAGTCTATTTGATTGTGAGCACTGAACCATGTTAAATTAACTTTTAAGCTTGAGGCCGCAGTACAGTTCTTAGATTTAAACTTTACAGTAGTGTGTTTGAGGTTTCTTGGATGTCACAGGGAAAAAAAACTGAATATAAAACCATTGAACTGTCTCTCCCATCTAATCTGTCTCTACTCGACTGCCTGGAGTGTCCAAGATCCACTCTGTGGTCCACTTTGTGGTCTGATGCCTAGTAACAATGTTCTCACAAGTTTAACCACCTGAATGCCAGAGCATGTTGTGAACTCTACCTTACAATTGGGGAAAATAAGTTGCAATATAAAGGCTGTTAGTGGTCCACATCTTTCCATCTTCAACGTTCACAACTCAATTTAAATATTTCTTATAGAATCACAGAAAAAAAAAGTATAAACAAAAAAAAATCATGTGGGCATCATAAAGAGAGATAAACGATCATTGTGATATTATAGTATTACTCAGCCGTCATATAACAAGATCATTCTGGGGTAATTTTCATATTTAGTTTTCATTCATTTTAGGAATTCCATCCAAACCCAAATTCAAACATCTTTCCAGAAATGCGTCATTTTTAATCTAGAGCATCTAGAAGAACCCTGAGTATGAAAGCAGACATTCAGCTAGTTCTGTGTCATTACAAAGAAATGTGGTAACTGAGAGTCAGTTCAAACACTTGGGAACCTTCTTAGTTACATTCAAAGAAATGCTGTATCAATAAAGTATGAGAGCACTAAGTGTAAGGGGTTACAGTCTTGTTTTCTCCATTACAACCAAGGCAGCCACAACAGTGTCAACGCCAGTGGATGAAAAATGGATGAAAAGTTAGGATAATAAAAGAGAAGTCAAAATTGAGATAAAGGGGCGTCGAGTAGCTCAGTTGGTTGGGCATCCGCCCCATGTGCAGAGGCTCCTCGCTGCAGGTGGCCCCGGTTTGAGTCCTGCATTGGACAGCCCTTTACTGCATGTCGTTCCCCCTCTCTCTGCCTCCCCATTTCCTGTCTCTCTCTACTGCACTGTCAATAAAGGCATAAAAGGCCCAAAAAAATAATTTAAAAAAAATGAGATAAAGGTTGCAAAAACTTGACTCAGTATCTCATATTTCAGACTTCCTACCTCCTAATTTTGAATTAGTTAGTAAAAAAGATACAGAAAGTCATAATTTTGACTCAGTAAATCTCGTTATAAAACTTAATAAATGTCTGGACCATGTATGGTCAATGTGTGAAATTAAGGAAGTAGCTGAAAACTGTAAGCTGCAACTACTTTCAATGTAAAATCAATCAATCAACATATGTGCTTGAAAAAATATATTTCAATACACATAAAGCATTTATAATAAATTTATACTATTATGGTTGTACTTTATTAGAAGAAATAAGACCAAAGTGTTGTCAACCTGGATAAGTCTTAGTTTTCCTCGGTGGATCCATTGCAAATACAATCAGTCAATGTCAATCAGTATTATTAACCTAAAACTATTAAATATCATTTCTCTCAGAGGTCTTATGTCGCGGTCGCTCCATAATTCGAACCACCACGAAAAGCAGTCACGTGGTACAGACAAGAAGCGAGGCTTCACATGTCATCAGTTAAGTCATACACCTAGAATGATACATGCATCGCGCTTCACTGGAAAAGCAGAACTGTACTTGACACACACTTCAAACATCTCACGTAACATCACTAGCAATTGTACTACACAGTCCACCAGTCTGAGGTGAGCCATTATGTCAACAGGGTACATGCCATTAGCCCAGCGCCATTCTTAACACATCAGTACAAGACAAAGATGCTAAGTTGGCAACACTGACCAGTGGTGTAACTTTCAGTCAGTGGTATTCCCGCTCCACTGTTGTGATTAAGCCAAAAAATTTTAAGTTTTACTGTCTCATAATTTTGTTAGTCAAAACTTTGACTTATCAAGTAAAACTTGTTATTGAGTATCTTACTTTTTACTTAAAAAGTAATAATAATAAATATATAATATACAAAATGTTCATAACCTGTTTATAGAGGCATATACCATTACTTTCTTAATCATATTCATATATCATTTGTATATTATTTATGATGTTGACAGACAAAATGTATCTTGAACATTAGAAAATATAGCATTGCAGCATGACCTTAGGGTGTAGAGCACATGGGCCTAAATTCCTCGAGAAGTGAGTCCCCAGTTTGACTGAGACCATATGCTCCATGTCATTCTCCACAATACCACTATCAAATACAGACATTTAGCAGTGTAATATATAAAATAGTATTTGAAATATTAAGTAACGTAACCCAAGTAAGAAGCCATTTTCTGGCTTTTAATAGTATGAATCCAAAAAAAAAAAAACAGTGCAGTCAAGCCTCTGGGGTGAGACTGTGATTCCATGTCATTAATCAACCTCTAACAGTTACTAATTTGTGTGGCCTGGTTCTAACACCATATAAAGACTGCTCCAGTTTGCAGAGGAATCGAACCCTTTGTGGATGAATATTTTAACAGTCTGTGTAACACAAAGCTGCTGCACTGCTGACCTTGGATGTCAGTCTGGCTCCTACATCACTTTACTGTAATCTACTTATTTTTGCATTTGACTGCAGCAGGCTTTTGAATGTTTATGAAGATGACTCTATTTAGCACAAACTATTGCCTGCAGCAGCCAGACCATCCACACCATCCACATACAGAGACTCAGAGACCTTCTCTGCTGCACGAACTTCACAACCTGTGAAAATGTGAGGATTTTTAAAGAATGTACAGACATCGCTGTCAGTGGGAGTGAGTCGCTTGCTAAATGTCTTCTTTTTACCTCTAAGATATTCCATAATGTTCTATATCACAATATTTCCCGCCGTTTTCAATATTTTTCATGGTATTGGAAAAAATAATAATAATAATTATTGTTATTATATTATAAAAATAATATGATATATTGCGATATTTGGACTGTACTGTACCAAGATATTACATTTTGGATATCGCCCAAGCCAAGTAGGCATTACAGAGAAAATAAAATTAAAAGCCTGAGCAGGCTACATGCACAAGTCCTCCAAACTAGACGACAGAAGTTTTAACACTTTAACATAAATTTGCAAGAGATGCAATACATACCCACTCACACAAAATTCTATTTAGATTAAAGACATTTTCTTTAAATGTGTTATTTTGTTATCATTGGCTTAAAAGATAACACCTATTAGCATTTTCTGATCTGCCTCCATCAAGCAGTTGTTCATTGCTCTACATGTACAGGACATGTACAGGAAGTCTCTGAGGAGACACAAGCAGGGTTTGCAGAAAATTAAAACTGTCTTATGTTCTAGTCATAAAGGACTCCCCTGAATAAATGAGGGACAACCAAACTAACTTCACTCCACACAAATGTGTCTTTGAACGTGTAAAAGTCTCACTGGTTCTCACAGGTTTAGAAAACATAACACACACAGTGGCAGTGTATAATCAGCCAAAAACACATGCTCAGGACGTTCAGATGTTCAAAGCTGCTACCAACAAACCCGCCACAGCACCTCTGTCTGGGCAGCTCTGACTTCAGGACATTTTTAGACTTTTTACTCTCAGCAGGTCAAGTAGAATAAATTAAATCTCAGGTACTTGATACAGTGAGCTACGTTCTGCAGCCATATCTGGGGAAACAAAGAAATCCTTTAAAAGAATTCAGGCTCTGCACCAAACCCTAATCCTTCACTCCCTGCTCTGTTGCTCTGTTGTCCATCCCTCCATCAGATTTCACTGAGGCCTGGTGACAAGTTTTTGGTTTCCTGGTAACAAACAGACAAACAATTATCTGCCAACTGAATCCAATACAGCATTTGTTTTGGGTCACACTTTATTTTGCAGGTCCATAATTCCCAAGTAAATTCCAATTTATTTCCAAGACATTTACTCAAAACAAAGCTGGTAGCAATTATAGAAAAACTAAAGACAATGATTAATTTCTATATTTCCAGTTAATTCAAATTGAGTGTTAATGTAACTTAGAGTATGTGCTTCACTAAGTTAGTCATTTTGTTTTGTCTCAGTGCAGTAAAATATATGAAATAGAAATACTAAGAATACACTGATGATGTGTGGGTGATGCAAATCTGTCATTTCTGCCCAAGCCCAAAAAGTGACTTATATTTTATTATTTATTATAAGCGACTTTTATTTTTTAATTCTCTGCACTGGAGACAGTCAGAGCCTACTACTGAAGGCATACTGTTTTCAGGTTGTCCATCCATCCATCCCATTCTTATCAACACGATGTGTCAGAAACGCCTCGACAGAACTTCTTCAGATTTGGCAAAAACGTTCACTAACAGTATAAGGATGAATTGATTTGATTTTGGGGGTCAAAGGTCAAAGTACACGGGCAGGGTGACCTCATGTGATATCTCAGTAAGCCTTGAGGGAACTTCAGATTTGGTAAAAACGTTAACCTGGACTCAAGGACGAAGTATTTGAATGTTGTATGCTTTATATAGTTGATATATTTATTTAAAAATTATAATTTATTATTAGTGCTATTTTCTATACAGAGACAATGTTTGTATATTCTGAATTCCTTCTTTGAGGGCCTGGTCAATGTTCCTGTGATGAAAAAAAAGGGAAAGACTTGTAATCATATATTTTGATATCCATTGTTGAATCCAGAATAAAAAGATTATTAAAACAAATGTCTCTAAACCTTGTAGCTTGTACTGAGGCTATAGCACAGAACAGTAACAGTACCTGAGTGTGTTTCCTCCTCTCGGTGCATAGGAACTAGTCGTGTATTTTCTGTCTCTCTTTCTAGAGAGGAGAGGTTGTGTTTGCAGACAGGTAGGATGTGTTTTCCTTCTTGACCTTCACAGGGAGCACAGAGCCTTACATCCTGTCCTCACCCTCTAAACCCCCCACCCCACCCTACCAACATCTCCATGCCATCTTCACTGTTAAAATGTCTTCACCTGTGCACATGTACCTCAGCAATCTCCACCCACTGTCTTCACCCTGCTGAATGACTGGTGCTTCTCCCTGCAGATCGTCCTGGAGAGTGACATCAACCACGATGGTTTGCTGGACTTCCAGGAGTTTTCTCAGTATCTGCGGGCTCACGAGAAGAGGCTGCGGCTCATCTTTCACAACCTTGACCGCAACAATGATGGTGCAATCACACACACACACACACACACACACACACACACACACACACACACACACACACACACACACACACAAGCTCTCCATCAATTACAAACATCCTTGTTTTTTCATTAGTAATCATGGAACATGAATATCATCTCTATATGGACTGAACACCAACTTCCTGTTTTTCCCTGTAGGTCGAATTGATGTGGCCGAGATCCAGCACTCGCTGCACAAGCTCGGGGTGGAGGTCACCATGGAGCAGGCCTCCAGAATACTGCAGAGGTGAAGAGTGTGTGGGAGACTGCAGGCAAAACGAAAAACATACATTTCCTACTAAATACTTTTTCTAATTTAATGAGAACTTCTCACTAACCACATGGTATCTCAGTATCTCTGTCTGAAGTTTACAGGACAGCACTGATTGATTGATTGCCTTATTGATTGCTTGCTTGCTTAATTGATTGATTGATTGATTGATTGATTGATTGATTGATTGATTGATTGATTGATTGATTGGTTGATTTTATTCACACATATAAAACATTACAAATAAATTGTATATAGTTTTTTTAAAGGAGAGAATGTGCAGCTGAGTTAAGAAACCCATCGAGGGGCTTATGTGAAACCTCACCACAATGTAAAAATAAGAATTAAATCATACAAAATGAGAAAGGAGGAAAGAAAGACAGGAAAAAAGAAAGAAAGACAGAATGAATGAAAGAAAACAACACGATATATACAATGGAGGGAATACAGATATTTAACTAGATCTATCAACCAGAGATACAAAGAAAAAGAAAAATACATAAACCAAATCATATTAGTTCACCCTTATTCCCATCCGAGAGCTTATTAATGTTTCTCCTAATTTTCTTTTTAAAAACAGGTAGAGAAGGTGTCCACCAGGTGTAAGTTGGTGTTCCACAGTTGTGCACTGCTCCATACCTCATAAATCCCACATGAGTCCATTTGAATATCTGCTGTTAGAGTTTTATAACAGTTTGTTCATGAGCGGTCAAACAGGAAGTTTGAGTCCAACTCATCCCAAACATAATGTCACTATCTCAGGTAACTTACTGCACATCTCTTTGTCTCTGAAAATACATTTATTCATGAAAAGCCCGTAAAACATATAAAAGATGAAATGTTATTATTATTTATTTGGTTCAACAATCTTTCATGGTCTTTTCATATTTTGTTGCCGTTCTGTTTTTTTATTTTTATTTTTTATTTATTTATTTATTTATTGTGCAATTATTAGTCTTTGACTCTAAACAAGAAAGCTAAGCCAATGTGAAGAAAAGACAAAACATATAGTCACATGTGAATTGTTGTGTCATTGGATTTTGTGTGTTGTGAGCTTGTTCATTGTTCACCTACACAGGTGTTTTGTGTGTGTTTGGGCGTGTACAGAGCTTGACTGACAGCTGTCTGATGCTCTGATTAAGCTTGTTGTCTCTTTTTTGGGAGCGGTTCGACCGACATGATTAGTCTTACTGGTTCATGTGGTTTGGTGACCTCATGATTCAGACACAGCCCTGCTCCACTTCAAACTGAGCAGTATGCCATTGTTTTCAGTGCTATACCAGAAAGTGGCTTTATACTGTCAGGAAACTCTAGCGCTGTAAACCTTCCTATTCATTCTGAAGATTGGGTGGGAAGTATTTATATTTTTGAAACTAATATCTTGAAAGAGAAGTGCTCTAACAAAATTATTAGGAATACTCTTAGTTATGTTACTGTCCCATCATCTCAATGTGTTTGGTCTTGCGTATTTGTGATATTTTGTGGAAAAAAAGCATGGAGAATCTGTGATTAATACTGTATTGATAACAAATTTAAAGAGGTGTCTTTCAAGATATTACAGAGTTAAACATGTGTTCAAGAAGAGTATTTGCCATCTATTTTCACTGTGTATATATATATACATGTATATATATATATATATATACAAGACTGTTCGGGATTGATGTAGACAACTTTCCGAAAAAGAAAACTAAAAGTGAATATTGAAATAGTTATGTTTGATGTAATACTATGTTTTTTTTCAAGATAAGATTAAACATATATGTAATTCAACATTTTATAATTTTTTTGGAAAATTCCATATTCATAAGAAAAAATGGTCAAGAACGAAGCCAAGCCTTTCCTGCTCTTAAATAATGAATTTAAACAATATAGCACCACTCAATCTGATGTTAAAAACAAAAAAGCCATTAAGACCTTAAAACTATTGAATTAATATAACATGCTGCATATAACACAAACTCTGGCTATGTGTGTATTTGAAAAAACAAAACAAAAAACTAAATTTCAAACTGAGCACAAGTCTAATGAGCCAGAATATGTGAAAACAACTGAGAGGGGAGTGCAGGGTCTTTAACAGAAGAATGGTGTCAGAACATGAACACTGCAGGTCCAGTACCCTGATGCAGGTTTGTGAATGAGCTGTTCTTAATGGAGCTGCCTTCCACTAAATATGCTCTTATTTTGAAAGTCATGCTTCCATTACTTTTATTCCACAACAAAACACGTGGTAAAAAAGACTGAGGCCCCTGGTTTGGAGTCGTTCAACTTAATCAGCGTTCAAAGAGGGATGTCAGAAGCTGTATGTGATCTGGTGATGACACAGTACTGTCTGTGTTCTCTCTCCCAGTATGGACAGGGATGGCACTATGACCATTGACTGGAATGAATGGCGAGATCACTTCCTGTTCAACCCTTTCCACAACATGGAGGAGATTGTGCACTACTGGAAACACTCCCATGTGAGTCATCAGGTTCCACTCATTGTTAATGATAAAATAATAATGACAATAATGACATCCTAAAGGTGATTTTTTACATTTTTTATACTTCTGAAATCATAAGCAGGAAGTGGCACTATTTTACGAAATAAAACAAAGCAGGAAAGGAACAGACAAATGAGAGATGGTTAAACAACATATGGTGATAACTAATTGCTACGTTAATCAGTAATTATAAACATAAGTGTAGATTTGTGTAATGTATTGTTAAGAGATGGTACAGAAGAAGAGGCAGAACTTTATATTGTACTGTATACTACAGATTGGGCCTCTAATTTCTGATGTGATAGATGTTTGACATCGGGGAACATCTGACAGTGCCAGATGAGTTCTCAGAGCAGGAGCGGCGCTCAGGTCTGGTGTGGAGGCAGCTTGTTGCTGGAGCCATGGCAGGGGCAGTGTCCCGAACAGGAACCGCTCCTCTGGACCGCCTCAAAGTTTTCCTGCAAGTGGGTCATTTAATTATGGCTATGTAAACTGTACTTTATACGATGCATTATGTATAGTCTTGTCTTAGGCATTTACTGTAGAGCAAATATGCAGTTTGCAGGTTCTCCACAACATTCCCCTGATCATGGTATTTAATATAATAATAACAATAATAACAATAATAATAATAATAAGAGTAATAGTAATAATAATAATAATAATAATATCATACAATAGTTTTGTAAAATGTACAATGAAAGTACTACAGGATATTTATAGTATTAACAGCTGTAACAGTTCCACATCAGCTGTTAGTGAATGTGATGTGGCAACATTGTTTTTAAGTCTGAAGCTCACTCTTCACTGATATTCACTCACACTCACATAGAGTGATAAAGCACATGGTGGGTTGTGTGGGTGGGTGGATGGTTGGAGTGTTTCCAGCTCCACCCATGTTAAAACCCTGAAATATCACTAACCGTTTAGGTAATAGAGAATAACTGACACTGATCAGCTCATTTATTGTCATCATTTTCTGAAGTGAGGCAGTAAAATAAGTGACTAAGTGATTATTGATTAAAAGTTTAAACCTAGATAAATGCCCAATGTGTCTTCACACTAGCATGAATTTAATATAATGTGGTTTCATTGAATTTGGAGTGTGAAAGCAGCTTTAATCAATATTTTGTTTATACAGATGAGCTGACTCTGCAGTTCCCGGTTTTAAAGTCATTGTTGTGGTTTTCCAGTCTGCAAACTATTGCTCTCTAATCATTTTCTGTCACAGCAGCAGCTGATTTCAGAGAAAACCCTGTAAAAATCCACTATCACTACCTGCTCAGCAGCAAACAGCAAACACACACAGTTAGAGAACAGCCGGAGAACACAGAGCCAGATATTTCCCTCAGGAGCTGGTGAGGAACCAGACCAGAGTTGATAGGAGAGTGAATATTAGACTTAGCTTCATCAGGTGGACACTTGTTTCCAGTGCCCCCATTACTGCAGGTCTTATGTTGCTATTCCTCTCTGAGAACGATAATTAGAAGAACCAAAAGCACTTTTTATTTAGGTTTCAGGGTTGATCATTTTTACAGCAGTACCGTTATTCACCTCAGTGGAGGATTCTACATCAAAGGAGAGAGATACTGTAGCTCAGAAGGTAGAGCGGGTCATCCACTAATCAGAAGATGGTGGTACATTCCCTCACTCCTCCAGTCCACGCATCGGAGTGTCCTTGGCAAGAAACTGAACCCCAAATTGCCTTTAATGTATCATTGGTGTATGCGTGTGCATGATAGAGATGTGCTGTGTATATAGCAACTGCTGTATGAAGGCTGTGTGAATGGGTGAATGTGACTCATGGTGTAAAGCATTTTGAGCAGGCAGCAGGCTGGGTAAAGCAGCCAACCATCCTAGCAACCACTGGACACCGTGCCCAGGGGTTAAGATTTCTTGCAAAGATCGTGTGGCAGCAGAGAAGATGTACAGCATTTTTATATGCACTCTAAATTTTAGCCACTAGGTCGAGCCAGAGACCGCACAATAGGCACACATGAGGCTCTGTATCAGATCACATAATGAAAATGTCATGTACATCAAATGACTGTCACTCAAGAGTTAATTCCTGTTTTCAGTAGGTGGCGCTGTGACTAAGAATAATTATTAGTATGCAGATGTTTTCAGTGTGAGACTGTAATCAAACATGTGAAATCTAGGGAAGACTGGAAATGTGTAATAGTGTTAAAGCTACTGAAGGGATTGCATGTTTATCTGCATTCTTAACTTTGTCCACCAGGTAGAGCCAGAGGCCATGCAATAGGCACACATGGAGCTGTGCATGAGACCACACAATGACATAATATTAGTATCCAGATGTTTTCAGTTTGAGACTTTAATCATATTTCATATTTCCATTAGGTGGCGCTATGAGCATTAGTAAATACAAGCATGTAGATGTGTTCAGGCCGGGACTCTTATCAAACATATAAAGTTTGGGACAGTTTGGACTATGCATACTCGAGTTATAGTGAGTTGGTATTTCATGGCGAAGGATCAAAATTCGCCAGGCAGGTTGTTCCACAAAATCTCACAGTTTTCATTATGAAGCATATTCAACTTCTTGCAAGCATATGGTGACGAAGTTTGACGTGGATGTGGTCAACCCTCTAGGATTAGTGCATCAACATGTAAAACATAACATTTCCTGTTGCCACAAGGGGGTGTTATGAATATCACTAAATATTTGCATATGGTTGTGTTCAGGGCGGGACTCTTATCAAACTCAGAAAGTTTAGGGTCGTTTGGACAATTTGTGTTGAAATGAGAGCAAGTTCAATTTTCATAGCGAATCATCGCCGCGCCACCATGGGCGGGTCCTCCAACGAAAACTCAAAAGCTTCACAATTTACCATCGCAGGTATTAATATTTGACTTAATGTAGATCTGATTAATTCACGAGGAGGAGTTTGTTAAAGTATGATGTCTCTAAATTGCCAAAATTGCAGATTAAATTCAAAATGGCTGACTTCCTGTTGGGTTTAGGGTATGGGCTGTAACAATGTTTTTTGTATGTTTTGGCATGTTACATGTGCCTACCAAGTTTCATGCATATAGGTGAAACCCAGTGCTATAGTGCTCGGGGCCGAATAAACACTGCTGTAGCAGTTAAGATGTTGGGAGCTGGTGAGCTTCAGAGACAGCATGTCCTTTTCCATCCTGTTCAGTTTTCTGTCCTGCAGCTGGTTACATGTGCACATTATCTTAGCAGAGGTTGTAATGAGATGACTGACCTGCCATTGTTTGTGTGTGCAGGTGCACGGCTCCACGTCTCGGGGCATTAATCTGTGGTCCGGATTGAGGGGGATGGTCCAGGAGGGAGGTGTCTCCTCACTCTGGAGGGGAAACGGTATCAATGTCCTGAAGATTGCTCCTGAATCTGCCATTAAGTTTATGGCCTATGAACAGGTCAGCACTCTAACCATTTAGTGACACTTAGCTTGTCACTGAATGTTTGTGCAAGTCACTGAAAGCTGAGACAAATTTATTCATTTAGGGGAAACCCTGGCACAGATAGGGTGACTGAATCCTGCATCAGTTTCATACATAATCAAAGCCTTTGCACATCCCTCCTCTCATGCTGCATTGTGCAGTATCACTGTTTCTCTTCTGTGCCCTGCCAACATCTTCTTCCCCTCCTCCTTCTCCTTTCTCTTCTCTTACTCCAGATCAAGTGGGTAATCCGAGGCAGTAAAGAGGGGGGCAGTTTAAGAGTACAAGAAAGGTTCATTGCTGGCTCTCTGGCAGGAGCTATTGCCCAGACCATCATCTACCCCATGGAGGTCAGTCTGAAGTTTGCGTTAATTCCACAGTCATTCCTTCTTGATGATTAGTCTCCCTCTTTTCTCTGTATGTTACATATATACTCGATCTTTAATTGCAGGGTTCACCTTAACTAAGACATGTATGAATGCAAATGATGTTGTGTAAAAAAGAAGTGTCTGTTTAAGCACAAATTTAATTCAGCTGCAAGATTCATTAATTGACCCCAAGCACCACTTCTCATTGTTGTAGAGATGTCCTTAGCAGCTTTCTTCAGATCAGCATTAGGACTAATTAGCTTCCCACTTATTACACGTGTGCAGAAACTTTATTTTGGTGTTGATCAAGTGGATTAAGGAGATGTAGAGGGATAGAGCCAGTCTGAGACCCCCCCAGGGAGCCTTAGGCCGGGCCCAGACACTGGTGGTGGAGGAATGAAGTTGCAAGTGGCTTACACTGCAATGACAGCAGAGAGAGACAACATAGGAAAGGTGGTTTAAATGTTCCTCAATGTTACTGCTGCAGCCGTAACAGTCAGCTAAGATGATCACTGGATGATGTGAAAGGCCGTGCACAGAACCCAATGAAATCAAATCAAGCTAATAGAGGAGAGGTGGAGCCTCAGTGTGATGAACAGATAAGGTGGCTGACAGTTGTCTTCCTGCTTGAAGTTGCACTAAAAGCTTCATTTTGTACATGAAAAACATCAGTGGAACAAATGTTTATTGGCAGATAAAAGCCACTGTATAATCAGATAAAGAACAGGAAATAATGTCTGGGTGAGAGAGAAAGCCTGAATGATTGATTGTGAATCACAGTGAGCATTGATCACAACAAACCAATTAAATGCATGACACTCACTGGATGTAAGTTTGTTACAGCAAAGATGGCTGATTGGACGGGCTGAATAAAGAAAAGAAGAGTGGAGTGGAGTGTCCTTGAAGACTACAGTCTGAACAGGTGGTATGTGGGCATCCTCCAGTAAGCTGAAATATGGACTTCTTTGTCCAGAACTGAGCAGTCGAGGCCCAGGTTACATTGAGTGATGTAGATTGCAGCTCTGCTTGAAAAGTCTTTGTGATATTGGTAGAATATTTTTATTATAGGATTATAGGATTTTTGATCTCAGCCTAAAGGATATATTAGCAACAGAAGAAATGAATGTTCTACTGGATGCAGGAAGGGCCATTGACAGCATTATGTGTAGGAAGTGCTTGGCTGGAATGCCGATTGAGGAGACTGGAAGGTGTGGTGCCATTAAAGATCTGTGGCTGATTTGAAAAGGAAGATGAGGAATTTTCTGCTGCTAAAAGATGTGTATCCATGTTGGATATGGTGTTGGTGAGCTGGTTGAAGATGGACCTTTTGCACGTGGCAGGTGGAGGAAATGGAGATGACTTTTTTACATGCTTACAGCCTCGGGCTGAAGTTGGGGGCTGACTGCCCAAGAAAACTCAAAGCCATGGGTTTAAGTTGGGACAGATCCAGGTTGGGTGGTGGATTCAGACCTTTTTCAGCTAAAAGGCTGATCAGCTTGATCTTGTGCTAAAAGCTTAATTTTTCTTTGAACTGAAGCAAGTAGCAAGATAATGATGAAGCAAAAAAAACAGATTCTAACCTCATTTTGTTAGCGCTTAAGTGCTGTTTTGCTCCAGAGAATTCACTCCCCCCATCTGACATCACCTCTATCTGGAACACCTAATGGTGGTGAAAAGAATGTGGTTAATCAAATGAAGTTTTCAATATACCATTTTTTTTTTGGCGATGCAAGATAAAAAAAAAAAGTGATAACATAATAAGACATAACATAAGATAGAATAACATAACAAGACGTAATTTAACATAACGTAACATGATGGCAACCTGAGAACAACGGACAGCTTTTTATTATTGCTATAGATTTAGATGACTTATATATATTTTGATTTTCAATTTACCAGTTGATCGAACATCTGTCTCCAGAGGTGGAAACAAACACCAATGTTAACCCTTGTCTCTATCACATCTTTTCATCTACGGAAGTTAGCACGCTAACCAGCTAGCTCCAGCCACTCTGCTCACTTTCTTATAGCGACTCACTGTAGCCTCCAATGCCCTGAAGACGTAGCTACTCAAAGGACATATTATAACCTCTTGTCTTGTAAACAAAATGATTGACGAAGCTCTTGTCAAGCGACAATCAACACCACCTGCTCCCAGCAGGAAACCACAGGTGGCACAGGAAGATACATACTCCATCTCATCCAGGAACTTCTTGGAATTTGGGGGATATGTATAAGTAGAACAAATTCTGGACTACCTTTCTTAGCCTGCTGCTACAATGACCCAGGAGCAGGAAATGGATGGATGGAAAATGACTTCTTGATGCCCATAAAAGAATCCAAAGATTAGTTCTGTCTCCTTGTCCAGTTGAAGAATTAACCTTTTGCCAGTGGTGTCCTCACTCTTCTAACCATGTTGTTCATCCTTCTCGTCCTCCTCTGCTGGGTAGGTGCTGAAGACTCGTCTCACATTACGGAAGACGGGACAGTACTCTGGAATGGCCGACTGTGCCAGACAAATCCTGAAGACAGAGGGGGTACGAGCTTTCTACAGGGGCTACCTGCCAAATACACTGGGCATCATCCCCTATGCTGGCATCGACCTGGCTGTGTATGAGGTGTGTGAGCATGTGTCTACAGTGCAGTGTGTGTGTGAGTGAACAGGCCTGTTTCTGGTCTGGGAATTTCTAAAGTGTAGAGGTTATAAAATGTTGTAATTCAGGCCAAAGAAATCAGTAGGCTGGTTAAATTCTCCAGAGAGGTGGGCGATAAAAAGTGACTTTTATACTTTACAGAAGTTACAGAAGAGTATGTTTGAGAAATAGTGTCACTCATTCATATCATTTGATGAGAGAACACACTGAAAGCAATGGTTTAGTCTAACTTTAAACTTATGTAGTTCTGTAAAGTAAGCCAGCATAAGAATAACTAACAATGGATCCAATAACTATGGACCCACAGAGAGTGATCATCAGCTCTACAGTTTCCCTTAGATCCACTCAGCTTTTTAGTGTCTTGTAGTTTGTTGTTTTGGTTTTCCCACCATCAGATTCAGTTCTCATCAACCTAGCATCATCATCATAACTCTCTTTAGAGAAAAAGCTCCTATGAAGCCACTGTCCTCTACCTGCCTAACTGTTTGCTGACTTTACAACAACTTTATAAAATGATGTCAGATTTTGTGTTTTCAACTTGTTTTGCCTCCAAGTGACCAAAAGAATCAGTTACTGCAGCTTTACCTGCGAACTGCAGTCTCAATAATGTTATCAGATGTTGAATAGCAGATGTTTTGTACATAAAATTGAGCCACTGTAGTGGAAACCAGGAAGAGCTATAATTTAGATAATTATTAATAACAGGTTTGAGAAAATATATCAGTGTTTGAATAGGAACTTGGACTCGGGGACATTTACAGTAAATATTTAGCATTATTCTGTATTCTTTAACAGCAAAACCATATATGTGTTACTCTGTCTCTTTATGCCTTGACTGCAGCGCAGATGATGTCACGGAGTGTGTTTATACAATTTTATTTTGAAATAATTCAAATGTAAAAGTTAATTATTATTTTCTTGTCTTTTCTCTCTTACCTCTAATAACTCTCTTTTCCACCACTCTTCTCCTTTATTGTCTGAACTCTCCCTCTTGCTCCAAGACTCTGAAGAACGCCTGGCTGCAGAGGTTCTGTGTAGATTCAGCAGATCCAGGAGTTCTGGTCCTGCTGGGCTGTGGCACCATCTCCAGCACCTGTGGCCAGCTCGCGTCCTATCCACTTGCTCTCATCCGGACACGCATGCAGGCACAAGGTCAGCAACACTGTAGATTTTGACATTTTACAAACATACAGGTTCTTCTACCAGCCTCTGTAACCTCCGTGACTCCTCTTCCTTCAGCCATCACTGAGGGGAAACCCAAGATGACGATGGTGGGCCAGTTCAAATACATCATATCCCATGAAGGTGTACCAGGCCTGTATCGTGGTATCACCCCCAACTTCCTCAAAGTCATTCCTGCTGTGAGCATCTCCTATGTGGTGTATGAGCACATGAAGAAAGTCCTGGGGGTGGGGTACTAGACTGAGACAAAGAAGATGGACAAACAGCAAAAAAGGACAGAGAAGGCAAAGACTCATTGTGCTGGTGGAGAGGTGATGAAGCAGCTCCTCTGTTGTTCAGGAGGAGGTCAGAAAGGAACCATGGCTCTGCTATAGACTGCACTTCCTGTCGACACATTCAGGTTTGAGCTTGTGTAACATGCAGATAGTTTGTCAGTAGATCATATTCATGTGTGGAGAAGAAGACGAGGTTTGACACTATTATACCACATTTATACAGGCCATACATCAACTCCCAGTGTATTTCTAGTTTATGCTCCACAGTTGAACAGTCAGGACATTGTAACAGTTCAGACTGGGGTGTACTAAATGTTTGACTGACTGAGAACATACAGTAATGCTGGTGTCTTGAGAAACACAGGGTCATTTCATTTCATCATTCACTAAACATCTCAGAGCGGTCAAGATGAAAACGGCACTGTGTAAAGAAATGGACAAACAGAGAATCGAGCCAGCGGTTCAGAAGCTCATCAGATGCTAAAATGCTGCACAGTGGTTCATTATTGATAAATTACTTTATAAAGGAAGCTGTGCATTCACCTGATTGGCCAGTGCAGTCAGTCTCTGGTTGATATTGCTTTGTGTTAGAGTAAAGTCTAATTGTTCTGCTGGACGTCCTGCTTGTTTGTGCTGGAGTGGCTCTGTATTAGGACTGCTGCAGTGTTTTTTTCACTCAGTGCCAGATGTGAAGAACACAGCCTTAAAACCCCAAAACTTGTTTTTGTCTGAAGTACTTTACAGTCAGAAGCTGTCTCTGTCTGTGTCCAGTTGAGGTTGGTGGGTTTGTGACTGCTGTTTTCAGATTGCCTCCATGGCAACCATGACAGCCACAGAAACCACACAAGGTGAAACTACACAGGAGATCATTTTAATCATTAAAATACTCATATAATATATATAGATATTTAATAATATATAACTCATCTACACTAGCAGTGGACACACATGTTAATATGAATAGTCCTGGAGCAACGCCAGCATCAAACTGGGATTTTCCACTCTGGGCCAATCAACACTGTTTATCATATTAGTTAAACTTAGTACCTGTGTCATTGCTAATGCTTTCCTCCAGTTTGGAATAACAGAGGGCTCACAAGTTACTACAACCAAACCCAAACAATGAGAAAAAGCAAGTCCAAGTGTTGTGGTGTGATAAAATACTTCCTGAATATGGCCTCAGGTACTTTGCACAATACAATGTCCTGTTTGTTTCACATGTACACTGCAGTTCATCATACTGCATAGTTTTCAGATCAACAGACCGTTGACCCTGTAGAACCAGAAAGGACAGAACATTTAGATCCATGGAAGCTTTGACTCAGTCATAGAAACACATGGGATCTGACTGAAGGTGCATGATGTCCGAAAATAGAAGTGCATCAGCATCTCTGTGCAAACAAAGAACTGTGAAACGGTATCAACAGTTTGTGAGGAGCTGAGTGTTTGAACAGCAATCAATACACTGGAGTTTTGTTTCTTAATCATTTGACTGAGAAATGAGGCAGTCCTTGACTTTATGAAATGTTGCTGTCCAAATACTTCAAAGGCTCAGGGTGGAACTGTTACTCATGAGGTGTAAGTAGTAGCCTCTAGTTTCATCATGGTGGGGTGCAAAGCCAGCAGTAACGAGACTGAAGAGGTTGAGCTAATTAAAAAGCTGTCTCTGCTACCGACATCACGTAGCTCATCACAGTTTAACTCACTGATATCTCTCCATGTCGTCTTAATCCTAGTTAAATAAAGCAATCCCAATTTAAGGTCCACTTACTATCTTTTCCTGGAGCTTTCAATTGTATCACACAGGCTTAACAGCAAATGTAGTTTGCTTAGTTGTCATGGAGATGGAAGTATTGACATACAAACTCAGCATCATCCTTAGTACTTTTTGTCCATGTTAGCTAAGCTAGGTATGAAAGTTTGTGGAAATTGTAGTTTGAGCAATGCAATCCCAACTCAAGGTCCACTTACTGCATTTTCAGAAGGTTTCAACCTGGGGCAACTAAGAAAATTGGTGATGAAAATTGGGCTGTTGAAAGCTTTGGAAAACTCCAGTAATAGACTGTACTGTGGGAGCCAGGAGGGCTGTCAGCGTCCCAGCAGCCCTTTACTCAAAAGTAGATTCATCATTTGTTATCTTTGATATGAATATATTATATTAAAATATTTGGGGGAGGGTAATGCAGTATTTTTTAAGTGAAGGAGAGGGTCCATTTGAGGGCCTTTGTTAGATATATTGACAGAAGAGAGATGACAGGGAAAGAGAGGAGAGAGACTGTGACTAGTGAACACTGGTTCCTGGACTTGAATCTGGGACATAACAGTTCATGGTTGACCTTAAAGTCTAAAGCAAGAAGTGCACTTGGTGCACTTACAATGAAGCTAAAGATTCAGCCCCCTGCCTACCCCAACAGTGGGGCCAGTCCTATAAATGTGAATGTCGCTGACTGACTGAGTGATGAAGTGACACCACTGGAGTGTTGGAGACTCAAATCTAGTGACTTTTTGGACAAACCTTAAATACTGTCTGTAAAAGAGAGTCGTACTGTCCCGTTACCATCTGCAAGCACACCTCTCTCTGCTGAACGTATGGCAGCTGATGTGAATGAGCTTCAACCTTTCTCTGTGAGTGATCATGTTACAGTAAATCCAACTGAGCTCACAGCTCAGTCTTTGTCGTTACTGATGTGTTTGGTGGTTTTGTCAGATGATGTTGTTATGAAATCAGGATTTTAGCAGCAGCTTGAAGTGACTGCTGGTTAACATGTCATCTTAATGGGCCACTTTTTCAGTCACTGTTTCAAATTTGTTCTGTTGTGTAAGATACTGTATATGTGAGCACAGAGAGGAGAGAAGAGAATAGATAAAGAGCTGAACCCAGCTGACCCTAGACTGAAACCAGCTGACCCTAGACTGGATGATAATACGATATGGTCCAGCCAGATACAAGGTTTTGACCTGGTCTTGTACAGTCCCTCAGTAGACCTTTAGTTCGAATTGTTTAGAATTCTTTTATATTAAACTTTACTATAGTTATAATTTATCATATCATATAGTACCATATGTACTGCTGTACATGTCCAACGGTGATTGTTTAATACTTTTTCATATAATATTATAAGGGCTGTCAGTCTGTGTGTGCAGATTCTCTGTTACTGTCCACCTGTTTACCACCATGATACTAGAGGCCAGTGTGATCTGTGTGTATTAATGCAGATGATTGAGTCATGACAAATATTTCAAACCCTCTGATTTTCTGACTTAGAATATATTTTGTAAATTTAAAGCATATTGAACTATTTTCGATACCAAAAACCTCAACCTTAGCTGCAAGTGCAAGTGTCAGAATAAGAGGGCGGAGTCAAAGGTAAAAAAGAGGTGAACAGGTGATTGAGTATGCATCTGTGCATGGTTTTTAAAAATCATATTTAGATATAACTTGAATATGAATTGCATAAAAACTTTTTATAGTAGTTTGTTGGTGCAGTTCTGAAGCAGCTGCATGTAGGTGTTACACTCCCATAGACCCTGAATGTCATTATTTGCATAGTAGGCAAATGTATAACATGTATATTATTATGCTTATGAATGCCTAATTCCCTTAAGAGTTGATTTTCTGTTTGTTTTTGCAAGCGTACTTGAAATGATGGATGCTTGTTGCCACTGGGGCCTTGCAAGCATGATGTACAACATTTTGAAAGCATGGGTGCATGTTTCTGAGCCTTTTTTCAAAGGTGTAGCCGGCTAGCTTCAGTGTGACGACTGTATCGCCTTTCATCTATCGGCTATCCCCCCCCCCCCAAAAAAAAGAAAAAACAGAGCTATTGTAGAATGAGTTTGATAAGAAACATGACAAAAAGAGCTTTCTAGTTTTGATAAATTATCTATGTCAGATGAATGTGTGTGTGCACTTTACATGCCTCCATGATGTAATTAAACCTGTGACAAAGAAGAGGGTGATGTTTCACGTCTGTTTCATCTGAACAACTGCAACATCTCCATCTAACAGTTATTAGTATGGAATGCCATTTTAATCAATACTGTAATGTAAATGTAAATATAAATATATAAGTGAGTCAATAAATAAATAAATAGCTTTATAAATTAACTAATTAATGAATAAATAAATAGAGTTTTATTTAAAAAAAATGACTTTTTTATTTATTTCAGGGGTCTTTTATTTCATTATTCCACATTTATTTATTTCTTGAGACTTTTCTTTCCCAATGCCACATTTATTACCCAGCTCTTTTCCATCTGTTATATTCAAATTAGGGGGCGCGGTTATCTCACAATTTTATTATTTTATTATTTCAGGATTTATTTCATAGCTGTATTTATTTATCTATTTCATATTGATTAAAATGGCATTCCATATATCAGCACATGGTCGTCTTTAAAGCTGCACTAACTGACACTATCATTTCATGTGGTTGTTATGGTGAATGTTTTGTTGTTACTGTTATATTATTTTGGTCTATTGGAGGCAGGATGTTGCAGTTTTAATGAAGTCAGGGTCAAATCTTCCCATCCTAATCATTTTCTTACAGTCCCCAAATGATCCTCTATGTGGTTTTGGTCTCCAGCAACTCCTGAGGAAAATATCTTTTTATAGCTGCATTGTGTTCTCTGTTTTGCTCAGAGGAGGATAGACTGACCTTCTTTGGGAGAGCAGTTTTTATTCTCATAATATTATGACTTCATTTTTGTAATTTCTCATTTTTGTTTCCTCAATGTGGCCCTAATACTTGTATTTATCAGACCCTCTTCACTGAAAACATCTGGCTGCTGCAGCTGGAGATCAGGTGAATAGTGTAGAGAGTGGAGTCTGTGGGCTATAAACCAAAACAATGAACCACAAGAGGCTATAAAGCTCAATAGAGCTTAAGGGAACTGAATATCTGTGGGTCCATCACTATGAGTGACAATACAATTGATTCATTTCATTTATTCATATTTTTAAAATGCAAATTTTCAACTCAATTCCAAATTTTATTTATTTATTTTCTAAAATTAAAGATAAAAAATGAAGAACCCTGCACACATCACACACCACTTTGGTAATAAGGGTTAACTGTTGACATGTAAAAGAACTTTATTACTCTGAGCTGAACTGTATTATTCTCTCCTCCAGTCACAGTAGAAACTGGACAATGGAGTGAGGAAGAGGAGAACCATGTGTTTGTGAGACATTATTACAGTGTCACATTCAAAATATTAATACAAGGTGAGCTTCAATACCAAACCACAATACAAAGATTCACGACTGATTCACTGAACTCTGAACTGGAGCATGATCCTGCTCGAAGGAGCCATTAGAAGATGGTGAACTGTGTCCATGAAGGGATGAACATGGTCAACATGGCAACAATACTCAGATAGACTGTGACACTCAGACCTTGATTGTGAAAATGATTATGAAAACACTTCCTACACCATCACACCACAACCACCAGCCTGGACTGTTGCAAGACAGATTGGTCCATGGATTCAGACTCTGACTCTACAATCTGCTGCCTCAGCACAAATCCAGATCCATCAGTCCAGAGGTCTGTACTGCGAAGCAGGATTTGAGGTTATCGAGGTAACTTCAGGTTTAACTCTGGGTTTTCAGTCCTACAACAGTGGTTCCCTTGTTACCGGGGTAAATCACCATGGTAACTCCTCACCCGCTCAGAGGTTGCCTAAACCTAACCGCAGACAGTACCTAGATGTATCATTTTATCCACTCAAAAAAACGATGCCTCTGAATATGATCCAGGCAGCAATTACATTTGCCATCACAATGTAATTGAGACAACAATTTATTAAAACAGACTATAAACTTAAGATACAAGGGAACATGGCAATAGAGCACAGTCCATTCAATCCACTCTCATCCAGCCTTCTGTCTTCTCTCTCTTTACCTTCCTGTTTTGTTCAAACGCTCCCTTCCTTCACTTACCTCCTCCTAACCTCGTCTGTCAGTGTGGCAGTATGGGGTGATGATTGTAAAGTAAAATATAAATATATATATATATATATATAATTTTTTCTTGACATTGTTTGGAACCGAATGTTGCTGTTAAGTTCAGCATGTGCCACTTTACAGTCAGCACCCCACACCAGCTAGACACACATTTCTTGTAAGGGGTCAAAAGTAAAATAAAAGTGAGTGTGGGTATAGTTATAATTTATTCTATAACAATGTGTAGTTATCTATATGCTTTTCTAATCTCATTTTGAAAAGTAGCTTATAGAAATCTTATCTGTTAATAAATGTAGTGAGTAAACATCCAATGTAGCCTAAAATGAAAATTCTCAAGTTAGGTAAACCTCAAAATTATATTAAAGCATAGAACTTACTGAGTTACTTTCCACCAATGCTTTCCAAGAAATCTCCTGGATTTACAGATACATATCAGTTCCTTGGGACTCATAAAATAAAGTCTCCCCAGTCAGTCAGGTGAATGCAGACATTACACAGCAATATCTGCCAGATTTAAAAGCCTCTATCAACTGTAACCTGCAATAGGAACTGCCAAGTATTCCACTTGTTGAAATAGACATGCCATCCATGGGAGCTGGGGTTTTGCCAACTCCTCCTTTCCCAGTGCTATTGTGGAGAAGGTATTAACTGCTGCTGACAGCCATTAATGGTGAAGAATAACTACAGAGAACTGCTGATCAACAAGTGAACTGCATCCAACCGTGCTGCGCCCTGTTCTGTTCGGTTTTTTGTAGTATGACTGTGAAACAGTTGCAGAACTATTATTTGTACAGTTAGAGTTACAGAGATAATTCATACATGAAACCACTGACCTTTAGCCTGAAGTTTAACATTTTTTGAAGGTTTACACCTTTACACCTTTAAAGCTGACTTTGTTGCAAGTTTATATAACCTAATATACTGTAACTTCACCAAGTGTTTGCCCATCTCACCACATATAATCAGAGGGAGCAGCTGTGCCCAGTGGATCATGACTGACTTGTTTACTCAGAGTCACCTGCTGGGCTGGGACACTTGGCATGTATAACAATGAACACATTTAAGAGTGTGTTTGGGTTAGAACCAGCTCTCTCTCAGACGGGCAGATTAATGTTTGTATAGTGGCCTCTCTCTGGGATTTGAATTTGGTTACTCTTGTGCACTCAATCAAATCACTCTGTGAAGACTCCTTGAAAACTCATTTAAAAAGATTAAGTCACCCATAACTAAGCCATTATACTTTTAAAGGGGGACTGCAGAATAATGAATTAAGTCATGCTGCCTTCAGCTCAGCTCAGCTCCCAGCTGCTGGAGACGTCCTGTCCTGTGTCACTGAAGAGCGTCAGTGAAATTTAAAGGTAAACTGCTTTATTCAGTGTTTCTACTGGTTTTAATCCCCTGGTGTGTTTGTTATGGAGAGGAGGACACCTCTGTGGATAATTCAGCTGCTGGTAAAAACCTGCTGAACATCTGGTTCATAAGTTATCAGAGAAACAATCAGAACAAAGGTTAGCATCAATCTCAGCTCCAACTCTTCCCTGACGTCTCTGTCCTCCGTACAGCGTCAATCAAACACTGACTTTAAATGTCAAACTACTTTATTCAGTGTTTTTAACTGTTAGAATCACTGGGTCTGTTTGATTCCCTGAACCACTGACACTGAAGGAATCCAAACAGGGAGGAGCTTATGGTAATGATGGTGAAGATAACAACTCCCATGATCTTG